TTGTTTCATTTTGATGGACTATCTGAAGTCATATCCTGAACTTCATTGTTAAGGTGGATATAACAGAAATGACTAAGAGACTTTTTTAAAAAGAGGTAACACTGCCTTTTTATTTGGCTACTCTCATGAAAATCAGAGATTTAATAATATGTTGCCCCACTATGTTAGCTCCTTATAATTTTCTAATTATAGCATGATAGTTAAGTCAAACTCAGAAGCCAGACTAGGTTAAAATTGCCACTTACACTTACCAAACGTATGAAATTGGGCAAGTTATTTGACTTCTCTATAAGAAGGGTTAATAATAGTACCTACTACTATTGCAGGGCTGGTTGAACTAATAGAAGTCAAATAATAGAATAGTACAGAACAGTACACAGCACTTGTACATAGTATATACCACATCAGGTTATCTGCCATACTATCTTTATTGTTACTTTTACAAGTCACTTTTCAGTTATATGTTTAGGCAACTCTTTTGAAATCACTATGAAGGCTGTTTAAAACCAACCCCAAAATTCAGGCAACCTGCTTAGAAGATTCAGTACTGAATAAACAAACATAAATATGCAGATGCCAGGGTCAAAGGTGAATAAAAAGGGCTTAAGCTACATTACTTGGTGGACAGATACCTTGCCAAATGTGCACAAGTGCACCTGAGGTGTGTTTTACCCTGCTGCACCCAACAGAAGCTGAGGCATTATACTCTGAGATTTAAATGGAATTGGCTCAACCAGCTCGTGCAATGGGAACAGCATATATGTTTCATCCTGTCTCTCCAGGAATCTGAGATTATGATTTATGCTCTTCCAGGTCATTTCTGGCTCCAAGCTTCTGTTCTTGATGAATCATTTCATCTGTGGATAATTTTGCTGTCCAGCACACAGTCCCTGTCTATAATATTATGCTGCTTCAGAGAGGGAAAAGAGACACTTTCCTGACATCCCTCACAAAACACTACTGGCACAAAGTTTTTGTGTACGTACCAGAACCTTAATAAGGGTTGGAAGCAATAGAGTGATATTGTGTTATGTAGTCATGCAGTCATGGAACAAAGAGCCATAAATCTTATAGCTATTAACCATCTTCTTAAAAGTATTTTGGCTGACCTCACTCATCATTTATTTTAGCCAAGGGTCTTTGTTGCAAGCAATGGCCACTTAATTTGGGGCTGACTTAAGCAGATAAAGAAGCTCAAAAATGACTGAGGCACCAAGTTGAAGTCTATCTCCAGGAAGGACACGTGGAACCAGGCCACAGAACTTGTCCAATGAAGAAACTCCAGCTTCCATTACTGGGCACAGAACTGCATCACAGCTGGCACAACTGAGATCATAGACACAAGTTCTCTGACACTATGGCTGCTGCTCCTGCTGCTCCTCTTCTCAGAGTGCATGCTCTACAGTCACTGCTTTGTGGCATGATTAGTTCTCTTGTCAAGGTTTAGGGTAGGTGCATTACTTTGGTTCTATAGGGCACGTGCCCAGGTCTAACCACAAAAGAAGGTGGAAAAGTAGTCTGTCCCCAAAAGGTGAGGGATTATCAAATCCAAGGAGGCAAGTCATTTATGGTAAATGTTCCATGTCCCAAAGTTTCTTGGACTTGAACGTGATGGTGAGCTCCAAATAAATGGTGTGAAAATAAATGAAGCTTGGAGTGTTTACACTAATTGTAAGACTTCTATCCAAAGTCCCAAGCCTTAGGAGCAGAAAAGAGATGATAGGAATAAAGAATTGGTGGAAGGGTTTTCAAATATCAGCTTTTTTCTTTTTCCTTATTAGTCTCTGGAGAATAAGGAAGAAATATAGAGATTTACTTCTAAATTTATATGAGTTGTGCTATCAATCTAAACACACAGAAATGGCTAGTCAATACTGATCTTAAAAATTCTTTTTCTCTATACTAAATGAAGATTTCATAAAGTTTCAACAAAATACCAACAAACCTTTGAAAAATTAATGATCTAAACAAAAATAACTCCAAGAATTGCTTGAATATGAAAAGTAGGTTATATTCCTTACCCAGTTCACCTTTAACAGAAAATGGGTGATAATTTTTAGTACTATTGACACCTAACCCACAAATCCAGAGAGAGCCCAAAATTCCTAAGCAGGAGAAAATTTTAAATATGCACACTTAGTTATACATTGTGAAACTCAGGACACTGAAGAAAAATAGATCTTAACCAGCAATTATTGATAGATTGACAGCAGATTCCTCAGTAGCAACAGAATCGACATAACAATATTTTGAGAAAAGACAAATAAATGTAAACTTACAATTATATATCCAGTAGAATTCTCTTGAAGCCAAAATAAAAGTATTTCAGATGCTAGGGAAAAATATCTGAGAATTTACCACATCACACTCTTCACTAGGGAAATTCTATAGAATTTATTTCAGGCACAAAGAAAATAATACAAAAGGAAGATCTGAAATATGCATGGAAATCATAAGCAAGACATTTTTACATATGTGGGTGCGTCTAAAAAACACTCTAATTTATATAGGAGGAGAACAGAATAGAACTAAAGCAGTGCATAATAACAGTTTATAAATTGGGAGGGAAGTATAGAGTGAAAACATCCTAAGGCATTTGAATTATTCTAGAAGGAAGCAAAGACATTAACTTTACACTTTAAGTCTACATGATAAACTGTATGACAATCATTAAAAAATATACATGGTGTATTCTCCAAATAAGTTGAGAGGAAAAAAAAATGGTGTACAAAAAAGACACCCACATCCACATGCACAATCCAAAAGAAGCTTCTTCCTTCATTTTTTGACACTTTAATTTCTTTGTTATCTGCCGTTCTTGTTCATGGTAAATAGTGTTGTGTAATTTTTCATTGTAAGTTTATTTTTAAAGGGTCCCTTTTTAATGAGAATTCCTTTTAGTCTTTTATGGCTGCATCTCTCAAGGGTGGTTTTACATTTGCTTCAACCAGGAATTCCATAAATAACTTACCTGAGATCTATTTGGAGAGGTAGGGGTTGGGAGAATCAAATACTAGGTTTTGAAATTCCAACAACACACAAATGCTATAAATTTAAATGCTGAACTGTGAAATGCAGGTCAAGGGATTCAAATTTTCATGAAATAATTTTTTCTTTTCTTCTGGAAATGGAAAAGGCTTCCTCCTCTGCTTGTCTACTGGGTGTTTCACATTTTCCCTGATCCACTGTTTTCCTCAGTATGATGTCTTTCTGGAACAATGACTTTTTGTAGTTGCTCAGTTTCAGCTCCCACCTTGAGTTACCGAAACCCTTGTCTTCTTCCTACCTTTATACTTTCAAGTCTCAAGTTACAATGACATTAGTACACCTAGAATGACCTATTGCCCTAGTTTGCGGGGGACCTGGGATTTTTCAATGCTAACACCAGGAAAATCCAGGGTAAACTAGTATGCCTAGTTACCTTATATGCCAGCCCTCATTACCCGGACCATAAAAAACACAGTTCAACAACTCACTGCATTATTAAAAATAGCATTTGTTTTATTATATAAAACATCTTAAAATATTCTTTTTTTTAAGATTTATTTTTTTTATACAAGAACTGGGTACAGGCCAGATGCGCGGGAGGGCGAGAGAATTCACCAGAGACAGAGTGGGGACCAGAACAGGCAGACAGACTGAAACACACTGCTGAGGGGAGCAGCGGGCGAGACAGGGGAGGTCTGCTGTGCCATGTGGGAATTCCCCTGGCCGGCCGGGATCGAACCCGCGCCGCAGAGGCTGCGGACAGCTTCACAGTGTGGCGCTCAACCGCCTGCGCCACCAGGGAGGCCCTTAAAATATTCTTATTATTTATTTTAGATATTATTTTATCCAGTAATCCTAGATGGTCGTAGTGCGTTTTCAGATAACAGAAGTCCTCCACTGGGCCTCCCTGGTGCCGCGAGGCGTTAAGACGCAAGCTACGAAGCCGGCCGCGGCCGCTGCAGCACGAGTTCGATTCCCGGCCAAGAGGTGACCCACATGGCGCAGGAGACCTCTCCTGACTCGCCCGCTGCTCCCCTCAGCAGTGTATTTCAGTCACTCCGCCTGTTCTGTTCCCTGCTCTGTCTCTAGCGAGTCCTCTCACGCCTCAAACCTCCGGCCTGTATCTCAGCTCTTGTATGCATAAATAAATCTTAAAAAATCCTCCATTTTGCCAGTTTACAAAGAAATATGGTAATGATTTTCATTAATACAATTGTCAAATTTGAGGGTAAAAGTTATAGTTAGCTCTGTAGGTACAGGGCTCTGGAGCGGTTCCCCAAATCGTGTGATTTCCATCACCAACTGTCCCTCAGCTCACCCTTGCTCTCTGTCGTATTTCTCTGGCCCTGAGAATGTTCTAGAATTCTCTAGGCAAGTCTGGCTGCTTCTCGTAAGAACTGAAAATAATCTCTCATTTTACAATTTGAACTATCCGAAGGACAAGGTGTTTGCTCACTCCTCTATCTATGGCACCTGGCAATTGTAGTCACTCGATAAACGGCTTTTGAAAAATGAGCGGCCTGAATGCCAAGCTGGCTGCCCTAGCCGCTGTTTTCCTAATCCAACCCCATCTACCTCAAACTTGACAGAAAGGTGTTCAAGTTTTGGGTCTTTTCGGTTTTTCCTTTCCTGTGCTACTTAGATATGTTTCTATTTTCCATTTCTGTGGGCATTTCCATCGTTTTGGGGGCGGCGATATTAACAGTCAATTTCGCCAAACACTGCGTTCAAGCCGCCATTTTAAAACTAGAGCCCACACATTACATTTTCCATTTTAACATGTACTCCAGGGTGCATACTTATATTACGTGTGCTTCAAAGGCAATTTCGGGATGACGTGTTATGCCCGAGGGTCTATCTGAGGGCGGAACCTCACTGGCTGCTCGATGCCGGCCCGCGCGCACCCCCTGCACACCCCCCCAGTCAGGGCGTGGTCGTTCCCCCCAAGCCCCCCCAACCCCCCCCTGCAGGGGGCGGGAGACGCTGTCACCCATTGGCTGAGGCAGCTACGACAAGCCCCAGCACCCTGCGCTGGAGCCCACTCTGGGAGCCCCGCGGGACACGCCTCAGTCCGCCTGCGCCCCTCAGCCTCGACAGCCACCTCCCAGGCCTCCTCGGCTCACTGCCCGCCTTGACTTTTCTTACTCACCTCACTTTTTTCACTGCGCCCCATCCGAGCCGGGCCTGGGCACCAGCAGCCCCCAGAGTGGTGCCACAAGCGCAGCCTCTGCTCCTCCTCGAGCCTCGTCAGGAACTGCTCGCTGCCGCCATCATGGTGAGTTGAGGAGAAGGCCTAAGGGACGCCAGCCGGGCCGGGGCGCTCCACGATGGCCGAAAAGCGGCTTTGAGGGGCCCGAGCGGGATGCGGGGGGCACCCTGGCTTTCCTTTTCTCAGGCATCCGCCCAGGAGGCCCCCGGCTGCGGCCTGCTGGGTGGGGGGCAGAGGCGGCGTCCAGGCGCGGCCTAGCAGGCCCGGCCGCTGACCGGGAAGGGCGGGAGGCCGGGTGGGGGAGGGGTGTGGCCTGAGGGCTCCGGCCGCGTGCGAGGCCCAAGGCCTTCGCACAGCCGCGCCTCCGCTGCGGCCCCCAACTCAGGGGAAGCCGGTGGGCGGGTGTTTTCTGCCCTTCCCCCCGCCATTTGGGGCGCGGGGACCCCACCCGGGGGGCGCTTTCCTCTGTGGAGAGGAGGCAGGGAGGTCGCCTCCGCGAGATGGCGTCGAGCCGTGGCCCCGAACGCCCCCGGCCCGGTCTTCCTGAGAAGCCTCGCTTCTGTCTGGGGGGCCCGAGTTTCCTCAGGAAGGGGTTCCCCTCGCTTTTGGGGTGGGGTGGGGTGTTCATGGGGTCTTCGGGACAGAAGCGGCTGGAAGGCGCGGGCAGGCGTGGGGGGGGGGGGGCGCCCCCGGGGCGGCCTCGGGGCCGCGCCTGGGCCTCGCAGGAGGTTGGCGTTGCTTTCGCGCGTCCCCTTGGGAGGCGTGGAGACGCGTTGAATCCCGTTTTCTCAGTTAGATAAACCAAGAACTTGAAATTAAATGTACGTGCAGAAGCTGAGGCGCTTTCTGGGGTGTTTGTGGGAGTTGTGAGAAATGCTCGGCCTTGGGCCGTGGCCCAGAGTCCTGGTCTGAACACTGAGGACCCGCCATTAAGCCCCCCGGGTCTCTGTGGCGCGTCGTGTGTTTATGATGTAATCGCCTGAGGCTCCATTTTAAGAGCGGGAGGAAATTTCTCTGAGGTCGCGGCAGTGGCACAGCGTTAGCCGCTGTCCAGAAATAACCTGTTTGTCATTGTTTGTGTCATGTCGTTATCCACGCGTGATAATAATTATGTGAAGATCCTTCTGAGTTACTGTAAATAATTACAATCATTTTTCCTCTCCATTTTCAGCGATAAAAAAAGAAATGCGAAAAGCTTTTTTTTTTTTTCCCTTATTCTTGGAGTAGCATATTTACTCATTTGAAAGTAATCAGTGTAAGAAAATAGAGTTCCGTTTTCATCCCAACACCTGTAACCATTGTTGTTTTGTTTCGTGCCCTTCCAGATTGCTTTTATGCGTGTATTTTATTTTACTGAAGTTGTACCCCGCTGTACTACTTTGCAACCTGTGTCCTTCCTTTAAAATATAGTGGGCGTTACTCCAAAGATAATGAAAGTAATTTTGAATACAGAATGTTAAAGTTTAAGATGGTGTCATTCACATCTTTTACCAAATTCCTTTATTGATAATTTTTCTATATTAAAGTAAATCTATGGTGAATGTCTTTGTGAACGTATTTGGCATGCCTGTTCTATTCATTTGTTGATCTAAACCACCATTAGGGGAATCACTGGATTATGTCCATTTTATAATTTAAAATTCTGATTTGTCATTCCGAGACACTCTTGATAAATCGTGTAGTAGTATATATTCCCACTGGTGGTCTGTGGGGTGGTGCTGTCTCCATATTATTTCTGATGAAAGTTATAACAACTTTTTTTAAGTTGCCAATCTAAAGCTAGAGAAGATTTCATTATATTGATGTACTTTTTTTTATCATTAGTGGAGCTGAAATTTATCATTGGTCACAAAACTCTTTAAATTCTCTTATAAGTTCTTACTCTACCTTTCTATATGTAAATGTATTTTTTAATGTTTATAAGAATTTACATTAATCCTGTCATTCAGCAGAAAAATTTATAGTGGTGATGAGATGCCTTTATTGCTAACTTCAGATATAACTAGTATTTCATACAATAAGCCAAGTAATAGTAGAAACTAAAATTGTTGTGTTTCTACTTTACTTTTTTAAATTAAAAATGATAAATTACAGTAACAGTTCATGAGAATGAACCATCCTTGCATTTCCAGTATAAACTGTACTTAAGATTGTATATTTATATGTGTATTGGTTTCCCCCACTATCCAAAAATAGAGTATTCCTGTTTGTATGATTCAATAGGTTAATTCTGCGATCTAGGAATGTTGAACGTATTTTCCATATAAATTAATGATAATAGTGTTCTTAGACCCCAGTATAACCCACTGAATCATACCAAGTAGGAATGTTCTACTTTTAAGATTTGGGGGAAACCTGTGCTGCTAGAATTGTGTATCCAGGAAATGGGGAGTGTTTCTGTGTGTTTTTTTAAGATGGTGTTAATTTTGTGAAATGTATTGAGAAATATTCTTGTGAATTTTTTAAAAAGTGATTGAATTTTTCACTTCTACTCCCTCTTCTCCCCTTATTTGTTTCTTGGTCTTTACCCCCATGCCAACAAATTATCCCTTTTTGTAGTTTAAAGTAACTTCCAATGAAAATGAGTCAGAAATTGCATATTCCTTCTCTACCTGAGGTTAATTAAATTTTGCATTCATCTAGAAAGGCATTCCCAAATTTATTCCCATAGAACATATTAAAACCTGTGGTCATAGCCTTTTTTTCAATGTATATTTTGCTCTCTTGCCTATTTTCTTGCTTAGCTTTACCAGGTTTGTTTTGGATCTTCCTCTTTCATCCTGCAACCCATTCTTAGACTTACATCAAAGTTATCTAACTTTTATTTCCAATTTTCTTCATTTTAAATTTACTGTTTTTTTTTCAGTTCCTCCTCTGAGTATGACTGATGACTACAAATGATAGGCTTTCTTCCTGGTCAACATATGTAGATCTCATTTTGCTTCATATAGACCTGGGAACTGAATGAAATAGTATTGTCAGATAGTGTGGTATCTGAGGAGCTTTAGGAACTTTTGTTTTCTGCTTTTAGTTATTTTTGTCATTTGGTTATCCCAAATATTAACAGGGACTGTATTACTGTAAATAGTAGTGGTGAGAATTACATATATGATGGCTTCCAAGTTTACTCTTATGTAATATCCATAAGTTACTTATTTGAAAGCCCACCAACTATTACATTTAATGCAGTGTGTTTTCTTGATTCTACTGATAATTAAAGTTAATACTTTGAAACACCAAATTTGCTTTAGCCTAAGCATTCACTTGTAAAGTTTTTTTTAACCATAGTTTAAAAGTGACCAAGGATTGTCTGTTTGTTGTGAATGTTGTATATATTAAATATATTTATGCACATAGTAGGGAGTCTTAGAATCTCTGCACTCTTAAAATGGACTTTTGTTTACTTTGTTAGCTTTGAGTGCCACCTGCTGGCTGAGTACTAGGACATGATGGTGCCTTCCTTTTTAAGACATGACACCAGTAAGGTGATTTGATGAATTTGACGTTTAATATTCCAGTAAAGCAGATAGCCAATTTGTAAACACTCCAAAAAACTTCCTGTAATAACTTTCTTTTCTCTTTCCAAAATCACTGTTTATCTCAAATATCAAATTTACTTTGTGTATAGAAAATGAGAGTTGAGGTTTTTCTCATCAGTTCTAATAACACTGCCTGAGGGTTTGTCAACCCACCACTATTCAAATTTGGGGCCTGGTGGGTTTTTTACTGGTGGGTGTGGTGTCCTTTGCTTTATAGGATGTTTACTGTATCCTGGCTACTGCCTATCAGATGCCAGGAGCATAACCAAAAACGTCTCTGATCTACAAAATCTGCCCTGGTTGAAAATCAGTCTATCATAATAGCCTCTATTTATTCTGGCCTGATATTACACAGTTAATTAAAAAACATCCATTAGGATTCACAAACATATTACTGTAAATCTATAAACATAATTTATCAAATAAAAGTATATTCAAGTTCATCCATAGGAAATTAAAAAAGAAAAAAATCTATAAGAATTTCAGAACCACTATTTTATTTGTTTTGGATTTTTGGATGAACTAATTAAAAGGATTGGTAAATTGTAGTGATTGGAAGTCCAGTGAAGAGTTCACAAGCTCAAGATATGTGGCTTATGTAATATATTTTAGGGGAAAAAATTGAAATTATAAAATGTCCTTCAGTATTTTTGCTGTCTTTCACTTCAATTACTCTACCATAGTTAAAAGAATTACTAAGTTTTCAAATAGATAAAATAACAAATATAAGCACAAATTAACAAAGAATAACCAAAATGCTCAAATTTGGTGATTTAAGATTTTTAAATTTCATTTCTAATTAGTATAGCAGTTTCTAAAATCTACATTTTTTTAGTAACTTCTCACATCTAAGGAGATAGTAGTTATGCCTACTTTCTTTTTATTATTAATTTCTATAAAATGGCTGTGCTTACCTTTTTAAAAATACGTATCAGTTGGTTTCTTTGGTCTTTGTTTTCCTCCAAAGCAGAGGTGCCATAGTTCGTCTCACAGCCCTTGCAGCCTTTTCCATTTAGCTCTTATCAGTGACACTTCATAAATGAATTTTAAATGAGTACACTTTTAAAGTTACAATTCAAATTAGTTGGTAATAAGTTATCTATAAAATAAGTAAGTAAATAATAAAACCAGACAAGGAAACTTTTTAAAAACCTATTGAAAATAAATTCAAATAACGGGACACTAATTTATATCAGCATACCACTTTATACTTTACAAAACAAATTCACAGATATTATTTCATTCTCAAAGCAGTTTTCCCAGAGGTACACAGCTGGCATGTACGTGGCTTTTATCCTTATTAAGGGACATGAACTTAGATCTCCTGATTATTTTGTTTCAGTATGCTATGCTGCGTTTCCAACTCACATACTACCTGTAGATTCTGCTTCAGAAAAATTTATGTTAAACTTAGTCTACTGTGGGAAGACTACAGACAATTCTGACTAGCATCCAGAAAAATGAGTTTCATGTGTGGGTTTCTTTATCTGAAAATGAAGATGGTAGTGTTTATATTTATGAGCCCACTGTGAAAATTAGAATTATCAGTGGGACTGATTTGGCTTTATTCAGGGAGAAAAATGTTATTCCAGAAGATGTTTTGAACACCCTAGGATTAGGAAAATGATTATAACACCACCCCCACTTTTTTTGTGTGTAAGCTGTGCTAACAGGGGCAATGGTTGCATGATCCAGTTCCAGAGTACAGCAGGCATACTAACACAGGCAGTATTATAATTCTGAAAATCTGTGTTAATTTTGATGAATAGAAAGACAAAACAAATTGGTTTAAAATGATGGTATTTGGTTTTGATGCAACTTTTTTGGGTAAGGTTTATCTTATTTAAACATTTATCTTGTTATTTATTAATATACTTGGTAAATGAAAACTGGCTATACAAAGAATGATTTTTTAATAACTTCAGTTTTTACAAATCTGAACTTTAAAGATATTTTTTAGTACCTCATATAGTATTTTTCACAAATTATAAAGTCAGGATTCTATCATAGTAGTGTATAAGAGACAGTGAACAGCGCTGGCTTAAGGAAGTACTGTATACACTTCTGTTGAAATTTTATGCTGACCTACTCCGATTACTTTAAATCCTGAGCTTGACCTAAGTTGTACTGATAACTAATTTACCATGAAAGTAATTTATATGAAAATATTTTCTATTTTACATACTGAAATTATATTTCATAGATTTTTTTTTTAACCTGTGTTTTTAATGATGATACTGCTTTCCAAATTACAGTCTGCTGTAAATCCTGAGACCCCAAACTCAACTATCTCCAGAGAGGCCAGCACTCAGTCCTCCTCTGCTACAACCAGCCAAGGCTATGTTTTACCAGAAGGCAAAATCATGCCAAATACCGTTTTTGTTGGTGGAATTGATGTAAGGGTATGGTATTCTTATTTCATTCCTATTTTAAAATATGTTATGAATAATGGGATTTTAACCTTGTACATCATGCATATTTGGAATTGGTTTTGTTTTTAACCTATAAGGACTAAAAATATCTTATGACAGAGAGCTACAGTAGTTTGGGAATACTGAATACTTGGGTAAGATTACTGCCTTACCAAGTCGTCTTTATAGTTGAATTGAAAATTTTGGATGCTGAATTTTTACTCTTGACATCAAATTCTTTCCCATAGATGGATGAAACTGAAATTAGAAGCTTCTTTGCAAGATATGGTTCAGTGAAAGAAGTGAAGATAATCACGGATCGAACTGGTGTGTCCAAAGGGTAAGTCAAACACAATATAATTTATCAGAAATACCTGAAATACAGCATCTGTAGAATATTGTAGAGGAGAAATCCAAAACTGGTATTCTTAACTTGTGTAAATGAAATTTGATGCTTACTTTCATGTAGAGGACAAGTTTGCTGCCAACTCTTACTTAATCACTTTTCTAGTGTTTATGTCTAAATATTTCCCATCTTCATTTATTTCAAATACGTAAATTAGTTTTATCACAGAATTGGGTTTTTTCATACATGTCATATAGTCTCCTAAATTTTAATCATCTTGCCATCGATAAAGTTTGTAGATAGGAATTTTCTGTTATTGAATGATACGGACTTAATTTTAGCACTTTCCAACATAGATAAGGATAAAAAAGCAGTGTTTATTGAGCTTCTATCACATCTGATAAGCATTTACCGCAGTGTATTTTTCATCCTTTGTCATCACTTCTGTCAATTATCTCGTAGAATATTGGAATTATAAACCATGTACTGCTATTGTATAACAGTAGTGATTTTATTCTTCATTTGTTTGCCTTTCTAGCTATGGATTTGTTTCATTTTATAATGACGTGGATGTGCAGAAGATAGTAGAAGTAAGTAATCTTATGAAGAACATCTATTTGACTTATGGATACAATAGTTTAGTATTGTTGAATCCACTATATACCCCACCTTGTATAAAGTATAGTTAGTGTATTCTAAATATAATCTAAGTAATTGTACAAAACTTGCTATATATAACTTGTTTATATTTGGGCATCTAACTTCATAAACTAGAGCTAGAAAAGGTTCAACACAGTGTACAGTCTTTGATCAAATTCTACAACATGTGTAGATAGTTGATTAGAGTAGTAAGAAAAAGTAAAGTAGCTTATGCCGATGATTTTTGATTGGGGTTTTTACCAAATCTTGGAAGCAAAGACTTGGAGATTGATTCTAGTTTGTCACTGTTTCACTTTCAGTCACAGATAAATTTCCATGGTAAAAAGCTGAAACTGGGCCCTGCAATCAGGAAGCAAAATTTATGTAAGTAAAGAAATAAATTGTTTTTGATGATATATGTGTCATTTTCCAGAGAACTAAAAATAGGATTTGTTTTCTTTAAAAGGTGCTTATCATGTGCAGCCGCGTCCTCTGGTGTTTAATCCTCCTCCTCCACCACAGTTTCAGAGTGTCTGGAATAATCCAAACACTGAAACTTACCTGCAGCCTCCAACTGTGGTGAATCCTATAACTCAATATGTCCAGGTAAAAACTTTTTGTTCTTACAGTATTGGAAAGCTTATAGGTGGGGAACAACTTAATAACTGTAAATCAGTTCTTAATCTTACCCTCTGTGGATTATATTTACAGTTTCTATGAGTGATAAAACTCCCTGTTTGAATACTTTGAGTAATGGAAAGGTATTACTTTGGTTAGAAACCTGTCACTCTAGTGTTATTCCTTATTCTAAGCTAAAATCTCCTTCTATATAGTTTGTAAGTTTTTATAGTATCCACATAGGACATAACCTATTTCTTTTTTCCCGCATCTGGCAACTCCTAAAATATTTGACGGCAGCTTTCCTTGTGTTTCTGCTTGGTTTACTCTTCTCTAGGTTAATAATTCTTCCAGCTATTCTTTATTTGCAACAAATTCCATACACCTGTTCATATGGATTATTGACTTCCAGATATATTTAGTTCTAGAATGGATCAGTTGCTAATGACTTAACTATAGTTGCAAACTCTCTAAGTTTCTGGCAATAATTTGGTCTTGATGACTTTAATATCTGAAGAAGTATTTGGCAAACTTCTGTTGATAACATTAGTTTTTGTTTCTCATTTTATTTACTTCAGTTTAAAAGGTATTTTACTTGTCGGAAAAGAAAGAAAATCATGGTGAAATATTTCTGCATTCTCTCTCATTTGTTCATATTTTTTATCTACCTGACGTGCTCTGTGTGTGTGTTTAAATCTTTCTTGCTCTAAACATAGCTAGAAGAAAAGCCCTTGTTCCTAACATTTACTGTGAGCTATTACCTATTCTGGATATATTCATATATGCTGCTACCTCGATGTTTTTAATCAGAAAATATTTAAGTGATGTAATACATTGTATTGTTTCTTTTGCAGTTTTGGATTATATACTACCCTTAATTTTAAGAAGTAAACTAAAAAGCCATAAAGTATGTAGAGGACTATACATTGACTACATATTTTCTCTTGATATTGTCAAAGGAATCTAGAACTGTCTAAAAGTATTTTTACAAAAAAATAGCAGAAGCTAATGGAAATCTGTCTTTAACAGAACCTTATTACCAGCATAAGAGAGAACTTCTAGGTGGGAATATATATATAAACAAGATCACCTTAGATTAGCAAAATCAGCCACTTGCTATATATCTTTTCTTCCCCAGCCACAGGCTAACATTTGACAGAATTTTTTTTTTCATGAAGTGAGTCACCCCATTAAAATTCTGCGTTGTATTTAAAAAAAAAATAAGGTTTCTTAATTTTCATATTTTTATATTGGGAATAATATTCTTTTTAATTAAAAAATTACTTTGTTAATTCATCCTTTCTGTACGCTTTATTTTCAGGCATATCCTCCTTATCCAAGCTCACCAGTTCAAGTTATCACTGGCTATCAACTGCCTATTTATAATTATCAGGTAATTTAAGAGGGAGCAAAAGGCTTGATTTTGGAATATTACTGAGGCATTTACTTCTATAAATTTTTCCAGTAGTTTGTCATTTAAACTTGTTAAGCTAACATTAAAGAAAAAAACTAAAATTAGTCTAGAATTAGAACTTCTGTATTATTTAGAAATAAGGGAATGCTTTGACAAGAAAGCACTTAGAACTTTTCTCTTGTACCATCTTAAAAATTGTGGTGTTCCCTTTCGCATAACTTACATACTGTTCTAGGAGGGTAGGTTGCAACGAAATGATTCCTCAATTCTTAGAGCACTGAATTACAGTTATATTTGGTGCTATTTTAGGTGGCTACTACAAGAGAGGATAAGAGTCCTACTATCTGAATTTCTGAATTCTCTGAATTTCTGCCCATTAGATATGACTATGACTTATGACCGTTTCTATGGTAATAAATTAAAAGAAGGTACTATGTTTGAGTTTTCCAGAAAACAGAAAAGGTGGGGTTTATATATGAGAGTACTCATAAAATTTCCACTCTGGTTATTATTAGACAAGTTCAAGGAGCCAGCATGACAGCTACCTCAGCATTGTCTATTTTATATTTTGTGAAAATGTGTAGTAATATTTATATATAATTTTTTTTTTTTTCATTTGAAGATGCCACCACAGTGGCCTGCTGGGGAACAAAGGAGTTATGTTATACCTCCGGTAAGGTGATGTAGCCACCTGTAGTTCCTGTTCTTTATTTAAAAGTATATTCTGGTTTAACTATTATATATTTCTTTGCCACATCATGTAAGAATTATTTTTAAATGCCCTTTTTAGATTATGGGTTATGTTTTATTAATTTCTCATCAACCCAATTATATATTCCGATGGGAGAAGCTGCTTTTCATTTCTCAGCTTTCTGTGTTCTTAAGCAGTGCCTGTTCTGTGTAAAAATGCTCAGTTACTTGTTCATAAAATCTATACTCTAAGAAAGATAGTATGAATACAGATGCTAATTCTAATTCTATGGATTTAGAACTAATATTGACACTGCCTCTAGTTTTCTACCCATAAAAATTCTGTGGAAGAGAAACAAGGAAATGTTTTACTAATCAGCTCACCATTTTTAAGAATGCATTTCTTAGACGTATATTTAATGTAAATCTCTTTAAAATTATACTTTTATTATTTTAAATGTAGGCTTATACAGCTGTTAACTACCACTGTAATGAAGTTGATGCAGGAGCTGAAGTTTTGCCAAATGAATGCTCAGTTCATGAAGCTACTCCATCCTCTGGAAATGGCCCACAAAAGGCAAACATCTAATTTTTTAAATATTTATAGTTTTATTTTAATTTTGGCCCTTGAGGAGCAAGTGTTTTTGTCCAAATTTAAATACAGAGGCTGAGTAATTGACTAATAATTCACCAGTTGATAAAAAGGCTAAGAAAATTTCACGTACCTCCAAACTGTCAGTGTATACATACATTTTATGAGTCAGTCCATTCCTTTTCTATTTTCATTGCTTTTTGTTGTAATCATGCTTTAATAAATAATTGTGTTAACATGATCTGACAGAATGAAATGGGCAGGTTTCCTCAAAAAAAAAAAAAACTCTTTAAAGAGGGATTAATATGCTTACATTTTCTTGTCTTTTACCAATTTAAACATTTGCTTAGCTAAATAGCAATACGCAATGAATTATGTATAATGTACTCCTCATAACATTATATGTTAACAACTCTGAAAGTAGAGAGTCAGTAGGAATAATTGAAATTCTGATAGAAGAAGAATTGTTTCTTTTTTACTGTTAGAGCAGATTCCTATAATTGCAGTATTCTCACTCTTGAATACTCATGTTTTCTTGAATAGAGAGGATCATGGAAGTATTTGATTTGCTGGGAATGTACACACCAGTGAGGGATTCCTACTGCAGTGTGTGAACTTCATCAGTGTGTTTCTCAGTAGAGAAAAATGTTGAGATTTAATGAACTTCAGTATAAAAAAAAATCTCTGATTTATACATGATTTAAAACTTGAAAGAATTTTAAATAGCTTATAATATAATTATATTATCAGGTCTCATCCTGTATATTTTTTCCTAACAGGACAAATTAAAGGGCCTTCAGGGACTATCTTAAAGAGTTTTAATAAATTCAACTTTTTAAATTAGTGTTCTGTCATGAAAGTTCTAGAAAGATTCATAATTTGACAGAAAATTTACATACTAAATGAATTACATAAAAAATTTTTAGAAATCATGTTTATTTGTTAAACTTTCAAAAAAATGGTTTGTTAATAGTGAGTAAAATGAAGAATAGTGTTTCGGTTACTGAAAACTCTTGTGTTTCAGAAATCTGTGGACCGAAGCATTCAGACAGTGGTATCTTGTCTGTTTAATCCAGAGAACAGACTGAGGAACTCCCTTGTTAATCAAGATGACTACTTCAAGGTATGAAAGGAATAGAATGCAGGATAAAAAGCCTATTTCTGAGCTTTAAATAAGTGTCTTTTTTTCGTGGTACATATATTTTGAGATGACATAGAACGTTTAATTCAATTCTTAGCATTTGACTGCAATCCAGTAATGTGAATGAGTTTTACCTGGCAGTATATTTTATGCTGTTTATATATTGATACAGTGTAGCTTGTTCTGAGATAAGAAATCTTTAGCAGACGCTTATAATTGAAAGTTTTCGTGAAAAAAGAGAGTTGGGAGAGAATATTGGTTTTACTAAATAGAGACAGGGCAAACCAGATACAGAAAGCAGAATGTAAGAGTACTAGGATATTGGACTGAAGAGAAGAAATTGATCACTCATGACATGCTGGTGCAGTGTCGTAGGAGAAGAGGCAATGTGAAGCAGTTAAAAGAGCTGACTAGAAAGAATTGAAAGTTGATTCAGAGTTGGTAAAGTGGAAGACAGTGTAAGTATTTAAATTGAAGAAAGTTCTGGTGTCTGCTCTGGTTCTGTTGCCTTGAACAAATTACTTAAATCTTCTTGAAACCCCGGTTTTTACAACTCTAAAATGAGAAGTAGAATCAAAGGTCTCTAAGATCCCTTCAGTTCTGAGTCTGTGAAGATGGGAAGGAACTAACAGGTCACTCCACTAGATGAAGGGTGGGGGTGGGTTTGTTGAAATATAATTTATATGCCATTCAATTCACTCATTTAATGTATAGTTTAATAGTTTTCAGTATCTTTATAGAGTTGTAGAATTGCCCACAATTTTATAATACTTTAATCATCCCTAAAGTAAACCCTCTAGCCATTAACACTCACTCCCAATTTCCCCCACCTCCTCTAGCCCTAGGTAAAACCACTTTATCTACTTGATTTAAGAATTTTCCTACTCTGAATATACCATATCAATAGAATGATATATGTGACCTTTTGTGACTGGTTTCTTTCACTTACATGATTTTTCAGGCTGTATCAGTGTTAGAATATTTTTTAGTATTTCATTTTTATTTATTGCTTTTTTAAAATTCATTCATCACTTAATACTGACATTGGGTTGTTCCCACTTTTTGACTATTATAAATAATGCTATGTACAAGTTACTGTGTGGCCATTTTTATTTTTACTGAGTATATATCTAGGAATGGAGTGGCTGAGTCACATGGTGACTATGTTTGACCCTTTGCAGAACTGCCAGAACTTTTCCATAATTTTTGTACTATTTTCCAGTAAAAGGGAAGTTTTTAGCAGTTGCTTTGTGTCTTAAAATGGAGAGAGACACTATGAACAGACATAGGATGAAACTTAATGCCTTTTTACAGTAACCATGTATTGTAGTATAGATAAGTAGAGCCATAGGCAGATTAAGTTCCTGTCTTTTTTTTTAACGGGCAGTATATGTACTCATTTCAAGTTGACATTTATTCACCTGTTGCTTCATTCCCTTAGACAGTAGAGTTTAAAAGGAAAGAATTGGGACTGTATACATTTCTGAAGGTTAAATAGGTAATGCTTAAAAAAATTTGTTCGCAAAGCACAATAGTTTTTAAATTACCTGTTATTAGATGAGTCTTCCTTTGAGCCTCTCAGTTTTCTGCTGCTCCAGACTAGGCGTCAGAATTGGGTAGTCTGCAATTGTCTGCCTTATAGACCTATTTTGATTAGCTAAATGTTACTGTTCTTCTAATTGAATATGAATGCTTCAAGGGAGTAGGCACTGTTGTCATGGGAAATGTTACTCTTTGTTATCTTAATTCCAGTCCCTTCTGGGTCTTTCATTTCCTGTCTGACCTCTGAAAATACTTGAGTTTGTGACTACTTTTCTGGGTCTAAAGCAAGTAGGATATTTCTCTTTTGATAGAGCCCATAATTTCCAGCAGTCATCCTTCATATGACAGTTGAATTTAATCCCTAGGAAAAGGCACATTTTAACTATGTAGAGAAGAAAATACTATTGTGTTTTTACTAATTTTTTCAACTCTGTACCTCTATTCCTTGTTTCCTTCTATCTGCACATCTGCAGGTAACAAACGGAAAGGGAAATTGGCATATATTTAATATTTTTTTCTTTTAATCCCTAAAGAATGACATCTCCATCACAGATAAAGATATGCCTTTAGTATCTCAAAATTTAATATCTTTTGGGCCTCCCCTGGTGGCGCAGTGGTTGAGCGCTGGGCTGCGAAGCTGCCCACAGTCTCTGCAGCGCCGGTTCGATCCCTGGCTGCCAGCGAGGGTCCCACATGGCGCACAGACCTCTCCTGCTGCGCCCGCTGCTTCCCCTCAGCAGTGTACTTCGTCAGTCTGGCTGTTCTGTTCCCCACTCTGGCTCTGGTGAATTCTCTCACCCTCCTGTGCTTCTGACTGTACCCAGTGCTTGTATAAATAAATAAATAAATCTTTAAAAAAAAATTAATGTCTTTAACAGCACCAGAGTGCTGTTCTGAAGCTGTGATTTCTACCAGATGCCACTAAAGTAAAAACAGTGTTTTTAAAAATTACATACATTTTCCACAAGCTGTCTCTGGTACATCCTTGCCAAATCATTAATTAAAAATCTACATAAAATGATAACAATTCTAAGGCCTCTTTTGTAAGTTTTGCTGAGATTTCTTTTTTAACTTAAATTGTTGATGATTAAAACTAGTCATTGATATATTTGATTCCAAATTCATCTCTTCTCATAATTTATATTTTCTAATTATTTTGCAACGCATAGGTCATAGTGGTAATAGGAAAATTACAACGAAGTATAAAAGAACTGTTTTTTTCCTTTTCTAGGATAAAAGAGTGCATCACTTTAGAAGAAGTCGTGCAGTGCTTAAATCTGTTTGATCCTCTCTGCTAACTTGTTAGTCTCATGGTTGTTGCTGGTTTTGAATATTAAGAGGCTGAAAGTTTTTGACTATTATAGAAATTTAATTCTAAATTTTGATAAATCAGACTTTCTTTACAAGTTCTATTAGATTGTGTAGTTATACTTTGCATTAAAACTGTTCTTCATTAGAGGTTTATTTAGGATATTGGTTCTGTGTTGAATATAGAGTTGACAGTAAAAAATAATTGAGATTGAAAGAAGTAACTTTAACATTTTCCTGTAAGAATGTTTTAATTGAAATTGACACTTTCAAGAGTTTAATAGCCAAATGTTAATTTCCAAAAAATAGTTTTAGAAAACATACTATTTTGAAAGGTCAGAATTTTGCTAGTTTGAATATACAAGAATTTCACTTCTCCAACATGTACCTGTGAACAGTACACTATTTACAGTACGCTTAACACTTATGACTTGTCTAGAAATTTACCACAAAAACAGAGTTTTTAAAACTGCATTTTTAATCAGTGGAACTCAATATATGCTTTATTGAAGTCGTCCTTGTATAAACCCAGTAAAACAGATTCCAAACAAGCAGTCCAATCAGTGGGTCTTAACGTTTATTCAAAATATTTTATATTTTATCTAGAATCCACACATAGCTATTCTATTTTATTTGGATGGTAATTAGGATAACTAAATTTCTGGGCCTAATTATTTTTAAGAATCCAAGACAAACTAAACCTTACTAGGTACATAAACTTCTCAGTGAGCTATTCTCCTTTTTTTTTTTTTTCCTATTTTTTTTCCTTAAAATGCTAAACTTGATGGCTGTATCTTAAATTGTGCAAAATATTGATATAAAACAATGCTGAAACTTTTTTATGTCACTTAAAGGTTAATCAGAGTATCTGAAAGGAATTGTTTTTATAAAAACATTAAAATACTAGTTATGTTATAGAGCAAATAGGGTTTTTTGTTTTGTTTTGTTTTTTGTCATAGCCTGTATTCTCTTTTTAAAAGAAAAATACATTCAGGAGAGCTTTGGAATTTCTAAATGTCAAAAATGTTTCATTGTCATACCCCAAAAATATACTTAAGAGTCAGAGTTAACAATTCATTTTCAGATTAGCTAGACTTCTCCTTCGCGACTGTAATTGCACATGGTGACAGACTAGAGCACCAGAGCCTCTTTGCTGTACCCATAGTTTTTACATACTACTATTATACTACTGCTATAAGTAGTAGTATATAAGTCGTTGGAGGGCTAGGCCTTGGGAAGGAGCAGTGAGTAGGTAGTTCCTTTCTAAGGGAAACACTTGTATTGGCATCATTTGACCTGCCATGGACGTGAGTATAACATGGCTTTTTGACCATTCTTTCTTGGCCCCTCTGCAAAAACATGGAAACTCCATTTATCTCTAACCTAATGCAGTTACCTTGGGCATATTCATTAGTGCCCATTTTGTTTTCTAATACCCAGTGATTTTCATTCTGAACCTGAAAGTATTTGTCTTTTAACTTAAGCATGCCCAGGGAAGAGGACTTTCTTACATCTCAGAATTTCAGTGCCCTGAAATTTATCCTTTGAAAATTTCTCTGTACTTTGTGTGTGTGTGCGCTATAACATTCTTTGATGTATCATTTTGTGATTAAATCTCCAGGTTACTATAAATGATACCTAAATTCTAAAGATCTAACTGTAATTATCCCAGTATGACCTTAAGAAAACTAAGGAAATAAACTTTTTGTTACTTTGTTGGACTGAAGTATTTTAAAAGTAAGGTAGAAGAGACAAAATCCTGAGCCTTTCGAAATGGAAAATTAATTTTAAATTTAGAAGTATGTTCCTTTTACCTGTTGCTGATACTGTCTTTGCATAAATGAATAAATAGAAATAAAGAAACTTTTTTCACCAAAAGTTTTTGACCTGCTTATTCATGTCATACATTGAAATGGCGGGAGGGAAGTTGGGCGGGTAGGGTAGTATGTGTAAAGTGTAAGTATTCCGTTTATTAATTGGTGTTACTAGCTTATAACATCAAATTTTGGTACATTGTATTTTTTATGCTTTCTCATGAAATTAAGAGAGAGGTTTTCGTGAGAAAATAGTCTTTTATGTTAAGTTGGCATGGTTAGCAGTAGCTTCCAGTGTGGAATCAACAGGGCAGTGCATGGAAGAAATGCTGGAGGATTGTACATGACTGAGGTCTCTGGGAGATCCCTCTCTTTTGGGATACTTGTGTATGGCACACTTGGGGCCTAATCTCTGGAACCATTTTACCTTGGACTTGGACTGTTGTTAATACAATTTAGTTCTTCATACTGCGTTTATTTCCTATGGGGATAGAGCCAAAAACTACTACAGCCTCTGAGGTCTAGCTCCAATACATCCAATTCTTTGTGAGTTAAGGCTGCCAGAGTGGACATTCCTGTGCTACATTTCATAACTGACTTAGTAGTAGAAAACTGATTATGGTATCAAAATTCTGTAAGATGAGTGCTTTGCGAATCACCAAAGATTAAATCTTGATGTTTAAAGTATAATTGCTGAAGATTAGTAATACTTAAATGTATATGTGCACACACATGCATACATTCTATTACCCATAATTTTTTATTAGCCTTGACCAAGATAGGTAAATATTTAATGTTTTGAAACTCTTCCCCAAAACTAGACTATATCTGTCTTCAAACAGTTGCTTTAGGGCCTCCCCTGGTGGCGCAGGCGGTTGAGCTCAATGCTGTGAAGCTGCCCACTGCTCCCCTCAGCAGTGTATTTCATTAGTCTGCCTGTTCTGTTTCCCACTCTGTCTCTGGTGAATCCTCTCACCCTCCCACGCATCTGGCCTGTACCCTGCTTCTTGTATAAATAAATATTTTTTTAAAAATTGCTTTAAACCTATTTAATATGTTAAGCATTTGAGAAAAATTTGATATACTTTTTTGTTAAGAAAGTGCAAATTAGGGAAAAATAAAGGTGCTCCAAACATGATTGATATCCCTAATTCTGCAAGATTTTTTTTTCTAAACATTATTTTGTAATTGTTCAAAATAATGATCCAATGTTATTACCCTTAAGCTGAAAGGAAGCAACTGACTTTCACAAATGAATGCTCTGCAGCAATTCTCTGTAATTGTCAAGTGCTCTACCCACTTCTGTAAAATTCTCTTGGTGGTCTTTGAAGGTAAACTCATAAAAATGGACTGCCATACTGCTTAATTGTCTTGCCTGCTTTCATGGCTGTCATTTGAGAGTAATAAGGAGCAGCCGCAATAAGGCAGCATGCCACTCTGCTTTCACAAATACAGCAATAGACAGGGTGAAGAACCATAAGGGGGAGAAAAGTGGCAGTATTTTCCATTGACCAAATCTTGCAAATAGGCCCAGCTGTTGAGACTGATTGTTTGAAATCCCTGAAACACTTCTAGATGAGGATTGCTCCTGTACATATTTTGATAACTCTGTAATCTAGCCCTTCCCAACATTATGTTAATATGTCTCTGTGTGTGACTGAATTTTTTGAGCAATTCCTCACCACCCATCAAAGACTCTTTGGGTTTTCCATCTGTAGACAGTACATTTGGTGATAGAAAACAATAAACATAAGAAGTTCAAACTACAAACATGCGTTTTTGAATGCTCATGCAAAATATTTAATCTGCATAGCAAAGGAATGATAGGTAATTCTGTATTGCATTTAGTGTTAAAAACATCTGTCCTATATGGCTGTAGCTGTGGGCCAATTCCAATAGAAAAAAATCGTCTCAATGCAGAAGTTGAAGCTACCACTGTACACTTAAGCTCTACAGTAACTATATTTTATGTTTTTAACTGGTCTGAAACAGTTTTCCAGTTGAGTCTCTGGTTCATTTTCTTAAGGCACATGGAGGTTGGGTACTTCCAGTAAGGCTCATGCTGGGAATAAGCCTTTTCCCACATACAAAATTCCAAGATCCCAGTTCATTAGGTCTTTAACAATAGAACAAATGATTGTAGAACTGGGATATTGGGGTCATTCATGACTCTTTGTAATGTGAAGCAATTGTCATTTCAAGCAGTTCAGAAAGTTGCAAGTTTTATAATCCTTAATGAGACCTTTTTACAGAAAACAAATTAGCAAAAATACATTAAGATTCTGATCACATCCATTGTCTTACCCAAATTAAAATGGTTACAGCAATACAATTCTGGCTTCATCTTGGGTGACACTTTTCTGTAGAAGAAAGGCAGGGCTGACAGATCTGCTCTGGTACAGCCAGGTCAGCTGTCTAGAGTGGGCTGGTACCCTCTGCCCTTGCACACATTCTTCAGGTTTTAAATATCACTGACCTGTCCCCACAATAAATCTGGCCAGACCAGTGAGAATGGAGAGTGGTAATTTAAGATACAGATGCCATTTCTTTACTCTTACCTAAGTTGATCTCCTACCCAGTGTTAGAGCTACTTCACAGTTGAGTAAAATTCAGAATAGTAAATAATACACCCACTAAGGTTTAATGCTGTACTCCTCTTCCACCCCCGCCCCGCAAACATAGCTTGGTTGCTGCTCCTCATTCTTGGTGATGATACATGTGTCTGACAAAATAAAAACCCACGCACGCACTCCATGGTTATGTCCCTGATCAAAACATCAAAACCATCAACCTGGGGTGATTTTTGGAGATGCGCTCACCTGTGCCCCATTTTCAGACACTAGCCCTTGGGTGGGCTCAGTAAGGGGGGCATTTTTATTAAGTCCCTCAAGTGATTGATCCATGCAACACTCACTTTGAGAAGTAACTGCCCCAAAAGGGGCTCTGTGAATAATTGCATTGTCTGGCTGTGTCCTAGTTTGTCATGGGCTGAAGGACATTTTTTGATGCTTTCAAGTTTGGGCAATTATGAATAAAGCTGCTGTAAGCATCCATGTGCAGATTTTGGGGGAACAAGTTTTCCATTCCTTTGGGTAAATACTGCAGAGTGTATTTCTCCATCATATGAGTACGCTTCATTTTGGGGGAAAAACCACCAAGTGTTTCCAGAGTGGCTGTTCTGTTCTGCATTCTCACTAGCAATGAATGAGGAGTGCTGCTTTTCCGTATCCTCATCAGCCCATATTTGCTGTTGGTGTTCCAGATGGTGTAGGTGTGCAGTGGAATCTCCTAGCTTGCATTTTTCTGGTGACACATGATGTGGAGCATCTTCTCATAGACTTATTTGCCATCTGTAAGGAGACTTTGAGTACTATCTGTCAAGGCCTTTGGCTCATTTTGAGGTTGGAAAAACAAGCTTCTCCAAAAAACATGGATTACCCCTTTAAGAGGGGTAATTCTGGAAGATACTTTTTCTTTAAGCAAATTTTTGTAATGGTTCAAAATAATGATTCTTAAACACCCTGTTTTTAGAGTTGTCTATTTTAAATAACAGTTGTTAATTGCATTAATCAGATGTGTCTTTTGCAAATATTTTCTCTCAGTCAGCAGAAGTTTTAAATTTTAGCCAAGTCAGCTAACTATTTCTTTCATGGATTGTGCCTTTGGTGGTGTTTCTACAAAGTCACCTCTGTACTCAAGGTCATCTAGGTTTCCCCCTATATTATCTCCTAGGAGATTTATTATATTGTGTTCTACATTTGGCTTTATGATCCATTAACTTGTTAATTTAACACCATTTGCTGAAAAGACTGTTTTTGCTCCATTGTATTACCTTTACACTTTTCTCAAAGATCAGTTGACTTTATTTATGTGGGTCTCTTTCTGGGCTCTCTGTTGGTTTCCATTGATCTGTTTATCTGTTCTTTCACCAATATTTACAGTAGGCTTAGTCCTGAAGTAGGATAGTAGGATAGTCTCCTTCCAACATAGTTCTCATTTGCATTGGCTATTCTGGGTCTTTTGC